TGAAATTACTATTTTCTGTGGATGGAAGTGCTTCTTTCTCTTTACTCACTGTGTTATTTTTGTTTATTGTGCAGCTGCTTTATTCCCGAGGTCTGTTAATTGACCTTCTCATTAAGTCAAATGTTAGCAGATATGCGGAGTTTAAAAATGCCACGCGAGTTCTTGCCTTTCAAGAAGGAAAAGTGGAACAGGTATTGAAGAAGAATCTATTATGTGTGCTTAACCTGAGCTTTTCCAAGTCAAATTTTGAAATTTTTTTTCAGGATACTTTTGTAGCAGTAAGCTGGTATATTTAATTGAAATTTTTGTTTTAATTTCGTAAATGTTTGTTTTAGTTTCATTTTTGGTATGTCAGTCAGCAGTTGAATCTTAAGGATGCACAGGTTTTAGGTTTTAAAATTCCTTGGGTAGACTTGATTTGTCTTTTTTTGTCCGTGTAGGAGAGAAGTCATTAGTCTGATAATGGTAATAGGAGATATTAGAGATGCAATTGAAACTGAAGGGAAGTAATAAAAACAAGGAAAGCGGGGAAAATATTTTAGAGTATTTTTATTATGAAAAAATGAGTATAATTTTAGCTCTATTAGAAAATAGTAGAAATAAGAGCAAAATAACAGTTCTAATGAAAAATAGGAACCTTCAGTAGAAATAAATCTGGAGGAGCAAAACAACAGTTCTAATGAAAAATAGGAACCTTAAATGTTTGTTAGATAATCAACTAAGGTCTTATTTCATGCCTTTCCCACACAAGCTATATAAAACACCTAATTTTTTTTTAAATGTATATTTTCTAGGTACCTTGTTCTAGAGCAGATGTCTTCAATAGCAGACAGCTCACTATGGTGGAAAAGAGATTGCTGATGAAATTTTTGACATTTTGTCTGGAGTATGAGCAACACCCTGAGGAATACCAAGGTAGCATTTCTTTAAATATTACTTAACATTCTTGCTTTGGGTTTATTCCATTTTGCACAATTTTGATAGCTCTCATGTTTTCATTCAATTTTTACAATATTAATTTTCAAAGGATACTTTGACCTTTTTCTCACCTTTCACATAAATATGAAATTTTAGTTAAACTCTTGCACTTCTAGTTCTCATAATATCATTAATTATTTTCATTTTTCTTTAACAGCAAGAACTCATATAACAGAGTAGCAAAGTGTTTTTATTTATTTTCCTTCAGGGCTTTTGTAATATGGTGTGATGCACCTCATCACCTTTTCGGAGATGATATGTAAATTCTGTAAATCCTGTGACAATATCTTGCCACAAAATTAGAAATGTTAAGCATGGAATTTTTAACTTTGAAAGTAAATGTGAATTGTGAAGTTGAAATGCAGTGTCATTGAAGGGGGAATCAATTATTGAGTTACTTAGAGGAGTGAACATGTGAATTGGTTAGAGCCACGTTATGCAAAGAATAGTGGGCATTGGGTCAAAGAGGAAAATTGGCCAGGGGAAGGGAAGTGCTCTCTGCTTTGGTTTTGTGAACAAAGGGTACGAAGAATGGAGGGATGTTCTGAGTGCTTGCAGTCTAACAGTAAACCAAAGCAAAAAATGTAAAATCTATCAAAAGGAAGTAACGAAGATAAAGGGATATGATATTTAAACCTGTTACTATAGGTTTTAGAGGGAAGCATTTCGGTGCTTTTGTGGGTGATAGGAGATGCTTTCAGAAGAAGCAGTTGTTAGTTACTGATATTGGCCTGGTCGCTTGAGCTTAGAGCTGCTGTGGTTTTATAGGACCTTAGATGATGTAGAAATGACAGAGAAAATTATTTCAAACAGGTGCAAGATAGAACTGGTCAATATAGAGAGTGATCTGATATGATTAGGAAGAAAAGAGTCTATGATGAACTCTAGGAAATCCTGAAGGGGAAAACCCATTAAAGTGAACTGGATTATAGATTACAGGCAATTGGAGGTTTACTACTGAGGGAAGAAATTGAGGCACCTAGAGAAAGAATATAGGTGGTATTTAGAAAATTTATTAATCAAAAAAGGAGACACCACATCAATTTCAAGTGAATTCATTGATTCATCTACCTAAATGACATTAGATTTATTTTATGTCTAGAGATAGTTAAACAGATTTTGTTCCTACATTTTAAAGTATTCAGGGAAGTAACTGGGAATATTTTTAGTGAGGTTAGTCTAATTTAAAGACTTCAGAATTTAGAATTGTGTCTGGTGAAATTATTACCTTCATTAGGGAAGACAGACTTTTAACATGGAGAGTTAATGATAGTGAAGAATTTTCTTTAAAGCTGTTCTATAAAAATTTCAGTTACATAAGAAGTCTAGAATTAGAAAAACTTAAGACTTTTTACAGAAAGAGAATAAAATAAAAGAAAGTGTAATGTATTTTATGACTTGCTGAATGGCTGTACAACGGGTAGTGAAGTACATTTGTAATAAAACAGTGGTTGAATCTCAGACAGAGTAAATGGCCTGATAATGCTGGTCACAGCGTTGGAGGGCAGTACTCCTGCATTACTCTTGAGTCTTCGTGTGGCTGAAATAAGCTTAAGAATAGATCTTTGAATGGTATGAAATACATTATTGCTTGAAACAATGTTTTTCTGCAAAAGAAAATTCAAGGTATATTAAGATAATTAAACTTACTGTAGTATTTCAGAGATATAACAGTAACATTTGAGGCCACGTTTGCCTTCAGTGTTGCCTGAAAGAATTCTGTTTTTCTGTACATGTCCAAGTGTAGTATTGATTTGAGGAGGACATAACACTGCTTTGTCCTTGTCATCATCTCAGCTTTGTCTCATCTCATCTATCCTTGTTTATTGGGAAGTCAGCAATCTGACATACCTGGAATATGTATTTCCTTTCTCATCTTTGGTTTCAAACACTGCATGAATGGCTCATCCACACATAACTATATGCTCTAACCACATAGATATGGATTCAATAGTACAATTTTTGCCCAGATGTTATGCTAAATGGGTAAATATTTATGTAATTTACAGGAATCAGCTGTACTATCCCAATGCATGGTAAAACCTATGGATTTTTGTCTGCCATGTGGCTGATACTCCACACATTTTCCTAGGAAGTTAAATTGTGAGCAAAAATAGTTACATGATTGAGAAATGGGTATAGGTGAAATGTAACTTACTTGAAGAAGCCATATTTCGGTGGTGCTCAGATAATCTGTGAAACTAGGTAATCCTATTCCAGTCTCATAAGGAGTTCATATGTAGCAGATTTGTCTTATTCCAGAGTATTTTAGTGGTGATATAATGTGGTGATATTTCTGTCTTCTAGAAAAAGCACTTTGAGAGTAAATGTTTTAGCTTTTACATGATAGAACTATCTATTTTCAGTCATACAGATGTTAAAGATCTGCGTATTTTCTTTTATGATCACTTTTGATCTTTTTTTAAATATAAAAGTATTTCTTCAAGTTGAACCACCAGAGCAAGTACAAGTGTCGAGCTATTTCATCTGCCTGGATTTATTTTTTTTCAGATTACGAGAGTAGACCCTTTGCTCAGTTCTTGGGAACGCAGAAGCTGACACCCAGCTTGCAGCACTTCATTCTTCACTCCATCGCGATGGTGTCGGAGGCTGATTGCAGCACCCTGGATGGGCTCCAGGCAACCAGGAAGTTCCTCCAGTGCCTCGGCCGCTACGGCAACACGCCGTTCTTGTTTCCTCTCTATGGCCAAGGAGAGATTCCACAGTGTTTCTGCAGGTAAGCTCAACTTCCCGTGTATGTACCTTCAAAAAAGGAAATTCTTAGTAGCCTAATGCTAGTAGAGCACTTCCTGCTGGCAATTGCCTGGTAGTTTTTGTTTCGTGTTTTCTTCGGCTGTGAACCGCCTCCAGTTTTGCTTTTTCCTACGACAGAAAGAAACATTTTTACTGTGGTACATTCAGCTCTTGAATTCAGGAAACTGATTTGAAGAATTTTGAATAATATTTCATCCAGAGCAGCAGAAATATTTTGCATTTTGCTAGTTTAATACTTGGAAGCAATTTTCTCTATGTTACAAGTACAACTTTTAATGACTGTTGTTCTGATGGCTGCCTATCCTACTAATAATTGGGAAAAGATGAGAGATGATTTCAGTCATGAATAGCTATCCTTTCTTAAGACTGATCAATGAGGAGTCATGCCAGTCAACAGGGATGACTGTAGCACTATTTTGTTGCATCTAAACGATATATTCAAATACAGTTCCTGTAAGTATCAGGGCTGTGTTCTTTTCCAGTGGACTCTCTATTTTTTTAAACATGTGTGCTGCTGTTACGACGTCCTGGTTTGTAGTGTGCCCTTGGACATTCTTTTCCTGCCGTGTCTGTGTAATGGCTCTGTATTTCTGCTCTATAAGGACACTTAAGACTATTGCCAGAAAAATGGCCTTAGCAGCCTGGGCTTGTTTGGCAGTATATAGGATGGATGCAAATATACGTCGATAAAACCATTCTGGAATAATTATCATAGGTCATGGAGGATGTCTGAAAAGCAGCTGGTTGGCACTGGTGGCTGGTCTCAGAAAGGGCTTGATTTGGCCTTAACGTTTGGTAAAAACACATGGAATTGTCCTAGGTAATATTTCAGCGTTTGTATACATGGTTTACCTAATGCTTACCTTATTTCGTTAGACAGCCAGGCATTATTTTGTAGTATATTGAATAGGAATGTTATCTGGTAACTTGATTTTCTGACAATAGCCTTTTGTCTATACCTGAAATTATATGGTGATTTTTTTTTAACTGTGGGATTGTGTACTGTGCTGCAACTAGCCAGTTTGTGAAGAAGAGTTGTCTTTTAAGTAAATTCTTGAGACACAGTTGTGCAACAGGATCTATGTTCATGGATTTTATGCAGGTCTTTCTATTTTTATAGGTTTGCATGTGGGACTAGATCTGCACATGACCAATAGATTAAGAAATCATAAATTTATCAAAACCATTATAGAATTACTAGTTTTGTGATGTTTCTCATCAGACTTTCTTGGGTTTCAAATATATGAATATTTTAACTTTAATGATTAAAAATAGAATATTAATTTTACTTTCTCTCATGTAGATTCTTCTTCATATATATTTTTTCTTATGTTGTTGAAAGCATTTTCACTTTATTTTGTTTAATAGCAAGCACAGGCAACTTCCTGATCTCTTAAAGCACCGTGTTTAAAGAGTTAGCAATAACAGTGTCTAGAAGTCACTTAAACATTCTTATCAGAAAATATCTCTGTGATAACAAGAACTCTTCAGATTGTCTAAAGTTTCTGATTATGCCTGTTGCCTGCAGCACTTAAGGGGTTTTGTTGTTGTTAAATTGTAAATCTTACAAGTAGGATAGGGAGAGTGCTTTAATAGTTGAACAAATTATTCTCTCAAACCAAGAAGTAATTATGCTTTTAAAAGGTTTATATTACAAAGCATTATACTAAAAATTAAATCTGAAATGTCATTGTTTTCAAGTGAACCATTTAGTAAGCAATCACTTTTTTTTTTTCTTTTTTTTTTTTTTGAAAGAGAGATTAATTACAATTATTATACAAGATCTATTTTGGGTCTCACTAAAACTCAGTGGTATCCTAAGAATAGAGTTCAGACTGTGTGGCAAAGTGGTGATGCCACAACCTATACATCATACCCTGCAGTTTTTATCACCAGGTTATCAGAGCAAGGTGTCACCTGTTCTGTGATTTCTAACCACCCCTCTATATTCTGTTTTAATGTAAACCTCTTAAGCGTTTCTTGCAGCCAGTTACACTGTGTGTTCTCATCAAGGCTACTGTTATAAATGGTGTGCATGCATATTTATGTGAATGATTCAAAGACGTTTGTAAGTCACATCCTTGCATTCTAAATGAATTCTGCATAAACATACAACATTTTATAACTACAGAAGACACTTGAGTGAGTAAAAGCGGTGTTAGTACTTTATTGGTTTAAACAGGTATGGTTTAGGAGAGAAAATTAAACTTTTATATCGCTCTAATGTACCTCCCAATATGTCGAGGTGCAGGTGTGAGATTTCTATCCCCATAAATCAAATGTGTGATACAACGAAGGTCACTGGAAACCTCATGCTCTTCCAAGCTGACAAGCAGCAAAACTTTTACTGACCTGTCTCGTAGCCTCTTGTTTCAAACTTGTTCATATGAAACTTGTTTTTCTTTCTAATGAAGTAGCGGCATTATGCTTGGTAATAAGTAAACAAATAAATATATCTCATTCCTAAGAAAAATCCCATGAAGGGTATTGTAAAAGCAGATAACCAAAAGTTTGCTGAAATATATGCAGGGAGGCAAGGGAAGTGAACGCCATTTTGCAGTTTACAGCCAACATCCTTTTTGCAGATCAAGTGGAGCTTACAATTTCTTGAAAAAATGTCACTAAAGAGAAATTGCAGTTAATCTTTGTTAGACTGTAAAGCAGCAATGCAGCGTTCACAATGTGCAGTGTATCTTTGATTTTTCTGGTTTTAGGAGAAAGAAAAGGCTGTCAACTTTCTATTTTTGCTTTGTTGTTGGAAGTTTTACATAAAAATCTAAAACGGGTCTTGATCTAACAGTTGATTATTAACTCATAAATTATACAGTGTCATTTAAAGTAAATAAAGGGAGTCTAATATTTTTTTCCTACACCTTTTCATACATTCTAAACAAATACTTCTTCTGTAGCTTGTATCTCCTTTTCCTTGTTTTTTTTTTTCAGAAAAAAAAAAAGATTTTGTTTCATGATTTTTTTTGATGTATTTGGAAGAGCTGTTTTATAAATTCTTTCACTTCTCCTCTTAATCCCAGTAGAATATCCATCTTATTTTCAGTTTTTCGCCAAGCGGAAGTCTTTCCAAAAACTCAATTTTGATCCTCTTCTCCGAAGAGTAGTGTTGTTCAATGAGTAGGGTGAAGAATAGGCGAGAAGTCAGTCGTGGCCGCCTTTACTTTTAACTTTTATGAGTTATTTTGAAGGACTCTGCCTGCTTTCGCTTCAGCTTGTCTTCAGATTCTTTTTTTCGGGATTCTTACGTGGTTGCCTTCTGACCCTCGAGGCGTGGACACGTTGTGCTCAGCAAAGTGGTGGGTTTTTTCCTCGTCGCCGTGTTAGAGGGAGGTAGAGGCTGTTCTGTGGGCTCCGCAGTTGTGGTAACTGGTGCTGAGGTAGAGGAGTGTCGTCTGCTGCCTCACCACAGGAGTTAGACATCCACCACATCCAGTCAGTCCATGACTAACGTTTTGTATGCCCTGTCAAGTAGGCTTTGGACTTTTACACTTACATACATTAGTGGGCAACGTTCCTCTTTGCAGTTGTTGCAGATTCTAAGTGAAATTACTTACTTTGTGACAGTGACAGTATAGCTTTGTATGGAGGGAAGTTCTGATTAAGAATCATCCCTTTTCATCCCTACGTTCCTAAGAAGATTAAGAATCCAGGCTGCACTATGCTAGATTGTCTGACTGACTTGGAAGATTCCTGTATATATTTTAGAAATATATCAGCAGTTTTTACCTTATATTTGGACTATTGTATGTTACGAATGGTGAAGTTTCAAGGATTGTCTTAGCCATGTAACGTTGCTGCCCTAGAAGTTTGCAATGTTCCAAAATCAAGATCAGACTTTAGGAAACCTGAATGCGTTGGGAATCAATAAGGAATTGAGCACAAGATCTAATGTATTACTGGGAAATTCAAATAACACTGTTAATTACTTGTGGTCTCAGATATGTCAGCAGCTAGTTTTAAGTTTTAGGAGGTCTGTAGTTTTATGTAAGTGTGGAAGAATCACAGTTCTCTCTGAAATATGAGTTGAGTTCTAAATTTAAAAATGCATCATTTGTGTATTTATATAGATCACATTGTTTAAAAATTCATTTCTTTGGACATGAGAACATATTTTGAAATTACTGACAGTATAGCTTGTCAGTGTTACCAAGTCCCTTTTCGAATGCTGAGTGGGAAGAGTAGTTGTCATACTGCTCTTAATTTTTTTAAAAAACTTGAATTTAATCAAGTAGTAAAACTTTTGACATAGCTGGAGTTTTTACAGACAAACTTGGTATATATCTCATACTTTGCTGGCAGATGAATGCAGAACGGGCAAGTGTAGTTAGCATGATTGTTTGTAGGATCAGTTGTTTGTTTTTTCCCCTACGGAGAAACTCTTTCTTGGGATAAACATCAGGGAAGTGAGATAATCCATCATTCTGAGACCTGTTCTCTAGTGATGGATGGATAGATTGGTAAAGTAACTCAATAATCTTCATTTTTTTTCAGGTTATTCACAGATCAGTGAGCATTGTCGTTAATAAAGCTATGGAATGCTTTTGTGTCCCTGCCCACATTATTTCTCAGGATTTGACAGGAAAAGACTTTTAATTTGGAAATAACCTTTGTAGTGAAATACACTCTACGTGTATGCAGCTCTGAGAAGTATCTTCCCGCTTTAGGTCTTATCGCTCTTCTCAGAAAAAGGCGTTTGTCCCTTTTTTGTTTTAAAACATGTCTACAAGTAAGGAATGTTTTGAAGTCCTCATTATTTCAATGTCTGGAAATATAGTATGCTTCCAATGTCTATACCTCATGAAGACCTTTAAGCTAGCATGTACCATATGAAATTCACCTCTAAATCACAAGAATGATGTCAAAGTATGTAGGTTCCAGAATTGTAACAAGAACAGAAAAAAAAAATCAGTTAAAAAGTTCTTGGTATTACAAGGGATTGGAATGTATTCA